TGGTCAAACTAAATGAATAAAGTTAAATAAAATAATAATTTTTTTTAAAAAAGTCTCTTACAAACAAGTGATTAAATAAACTTAAAAAAATAAAAATGAAAAGACCCTAAGTCCTTATCATGACTGACAAGGGTCTTCATGAACCCTAGGGCGTCTTTGACTTTACCTCTCATCCTTCTTCCCTTTGCTCACTGGCCCTCAGCTTGCAGTGGACAAGTATTTTCTTGTCAAAGCAATTTAAAATTAATGTCTTACTCCTCAATCAATTTTAAAGAAAATCCCTTTCTTTTTAGAGGGTAAGATATAGGATGTGAAAGAATCCTAGAAAATGTAATGTGGTCTTGTTGACCAAAATAAAAAAGAAAAACCCAGACTACTATTTTCCAGTCTCTAGTTGCAATACTGACTAAAATTGATACGAAATGAGAAAGACCACACAGATTCTTGTATCTTGAGGAGTAAGGGAATTTCCATTTCAAGTGCTTTTATTTAACTGTCTGCAAATTTAGTTTCGAAAACTCCAGTATTAACTACACACACACACACACACACACACACCACACGCACACAAAACCCCCAAACCAAATACAAACCCTGACTTAAACTAATCAAGCTTGGTTTTCATATGCGGTGTTCTTTCATAACCACTGAATGGTTTTAAAGACCATCCCAAGTCATACGAAACCACACTTTGTGAAACGTTAAGTTTCAGATGACTTTGCAAGTTACTCTTTAAAGGACTAACGTATTGTGTCACAATAAACAGCCCTGGGAAGGCACAGGGAGAACAGATATAAAAATAGAATTCACACTTCAGAGCCTCAGGCCAATTTCTTCAAAATGATTTGAAAACACAAATATATTTTAGTTCTGTGTACCCTTTGGGGAAATTCTGTCAGGAGGCAGGTGAAGTAGGCTTTTAGAGCTCCAACAAAGGAAATCAGCAGAGGAAGGAAAAAAGAACTGATGAAAAAAGTGGAAATGTGTAGGTTTGTAGATAACTCAGTAGGAGACAATTTTTCCTTTTTTTTTTTCTTGAGAGATTTTTGCTATAGGGTGCATGCACTTGCTGGAGAGACAGAGAGACAGAGAGCTAGGAATCATCCCCCAAAGTGGATAGCCATGCTGCAATCCCTTCTCCATTTTCCTCCTGAGATTTTGGGCATGCACATACACACATGCCTGGCCTGAGTTTCGAGCCGCTGGGTCCAGGACTTGAATCGCAGTCGACTATGTGGGAGTCCAGTGCCTTAACCACTATACCACCTGCTGGGCCCAGTACTTTTTAAAACTATAAAAACAATGAGCATTCTATAATTAAAACAAACCTCAGCAATAATCACATAGAAGACTTGTTGTGTTTAAATAACTACATAAATTGGCTAAATACTTTGTGAAAAGACCTAAAAAAAAGTGATTTGCTCATCAGTTCATTTATTCAGATCAACGTTGGTACAGTCAAAAGGCAACGAACTTCTTCTGACAGATTGATACCCATTAAGCTGCTACTTCAGACCCAATACACATGACCTTGAGAGCAGGAGGCCCCCTAACGCCAGAAACGAAATGTCATAAAGAATTTATATACTGAAGAACTTGTGCAAATGAAAAAAGAAATGATATACAAGTCCTTCAACTAAGCAAGTAGATTCTTGAAAAAAAAATTCTAACTATACAATAAGTTACAGGGCAACTTTTGTGAGTCAAGAGACACCTATTAAGGGGGAAGAGAGAAAGACGGTTCAGTCACCCTACGGTACAGCCTAAAGGCGCTATTCATTTAGCCTGCCTATCTCCAGAAATACACGCCTCAGAAGTCAATATTGAGCCATTCTCAGACAGTGAATTTGGAGGAAAAAAATCTAGGATCAGTTTGAGCTGGGCTATTTATTTATTTATAAGCTCGAGCAAGCGATGGCACCTCTGTGGACCTGTCTCCTCAGCTGCCAAGTTTTCAGAATAACAATCTTTTCTTAGAGCTGTAAAAAGATCAAATGACAGCCTATTTACAAGTAGTTCTCAACTCTGATGGCATCTTAAAATCACCTCCTAAATGAAAACAGAAATGTTGGTGCCTGGCCCCATTCTATAAACTCGGGATGAAGCGTTCTAGGATGAGCTTTTGGCATCGGTGGATTTTTAAAGCTCCCCAGATGATTCTAATATGTAGCCACTGCTGAGCACCACAGGGCTATTGCTAAAGCTTTCCAAACGACCCCAACCATCACTTGGGGATCCTGCCAAATGCACATTTGGACTCGGCAGTGAGGCCTGAGAGTCTGTACTGCTAGTAGTTTCCTAGGTTACCCTGAGCCGCTCTCAGCCACACTCTTGAGTATAGCAGGGCGCTCAGTGGCTACAGCACAGTGCCAATCAGCATTCACTTTCCCCCCAGACTGTAACTCTTACACATGGTGGCACAGGCTTCAGCCTTTCTTTCTTTTCTTTTCTGTCCTTTCTTCTTTTTCTTTTTTTTTTCCCAGTGGGGCACATACCCTTGCCAGCGAGATTGAGACGGGGAGAGAAAGCACCCCTCAAGGGGAACGGTCATTGTGCAATCCCTTCCACTCTCTCTCCCCCTCCTTTTGGGACTTTAGGCTTGCACACACATACACCTGGCATGTTTCTCAAGCTACCAGGTCTGGGACTCGAATCTGGGGGTTGGTCATGTGGGATCCGGCTGCCTTAACCAGCATGTCATGGAGCAGCCCCCTCCCCCTTTTTAAGTTTATTTTTTCCATGAGCAAGAGAGACGGCAAGACAGGGACAGAGAGGAGGAGGGAGAGAGAGAGAGTTAAGAGAGAGAGAGACACCCCCGGCAGGGTCTTGGTTCCATGATCTGCCCCCAGCCTCGGCTAGTCTGGAACATGGCACACATGTGTGCCTAGTGTACTCAGAGACATCTCCAGACGTGAGCTGAGAACTTTCCCATGTGGGTCAGTCTTACAGGGCATTGCATTTTGCCACTGCACCACTGCCCAGGCCCTTCTTAGGACTGTTGTAAGATGTATAAGATTTTAAAACAAAGCACAAAAGGTTGTACAAATAAAAGGGATGTCTCGGGTTGTCTGTTAAGAAGAGACCATTTATTTATGGTTACAAGCACACCCACTTGCTATGGTACCACTGCTCGCCACATTCATTACAAATGACATAGTTCATCATTTGTTCATCTGGGTTTGAATTCCGCACCCAACTCGGAAGGAAAAGTGTTCCCCTGGTGATTAAGGTGACCTTGCAGTTGTAGTTCTCACAGCGCCTGCATTTTATTTTATTTGTTGGCGTGCCATCGATTGTTTGGGGAAGGCAATGTTCCTGGATACAAGACTCCGTGTAGGAAGCTCTCAACTGCTTCAGCTCTTGGCTTGCCATCTCCATGACGTTCATTTTGGCAAATTCTCTCGGAGACATGGTCCCAGACAGCAAGTTTTGTTGTAAGTGAGAATTTTTGGGGTTCTTCAAATTAGCAACTTTGCTTCTGATACAAGTTTTATATTTTTTGAGGTTCTTTGAATGAAGGGTATAAACGTGTTCTTCAATTTCTCTTGCCAAGTTTTGCCACAAACTAGCTTTTGGCTGATCTATGGAAGAATTACTTAAAGCTGTATAAAGCAGTTCTGTGCATTTAGTTCTCACAGGCATGGTGGGATCCAACAATTCACTCGATCTCTTGCCAGCAGATTTAGGGTCACCAACCCCCAAGTGCTCTTCCTTAGGTACCATTTGAATAGCACTATTTTCAAGCACAATCATTTCAGTGGGTTTTGCCACATCGTGGGATAGCAGAAAACTAGAACTGCAAACACCTGGTGTCTCATCCTGACTTGGGTCATGAGAAATTCCCGAATTTTCTTCTTTATTACCACCCATAGAGAATAATTTAGGGCTGTCCCTTGGTTTGGAGTTTGTATCTCTGTGAAGAGCTTTCCACTTTGACAGCAAACACTTGGCTTTCTTTTTCAAAGCCATCGAGGGGCAGTTTTTGAGGACCCTGTACACAGCCCTGACCACATCTGTCTCCTGGAGATGCTCCTTACTCACATAAATCACTTCTAGCTCAGTAAGGTAGTTGCCAACATCCTCAAAATCCCTTTTAGACATCAGTTGCTCAATAAGAGAAGCTGTGGCAGCTATCTGGTTCTGGTCAGACATCTTTGCAGCTGCAAGGAAAAAAGAGGTTTCAGTTTTCTTAAGCTGGCTTTTGCTAGTCGCAGCTTCCAAAATAGTAAAATAGCACTTTGTGCCAGCTACCTATGCAATGTTTACTGAAGGAGTTCTGTACAATGAGTGGGCGTTGACTTTTTAGAAAATGGAATTTGCAACGTGGGATGGTTTAGTTTCAAGAGTTTTATTCTCAATAGTTAAAAGAAAAGCAGCATTACAAAGAATTCTGCCTAATATCTGCTTACAAGGGGCTTGCTGGAGGACGTGCTACAATTTTTTCACCTCTGATTCCACAAATTGATGATCTTTCTAGCTCAGTATCAGTCAGTTCACTTGGGTGGAATCTGGTGATCACACTGGGGATGGAAGCATGCCAATGTCAGCATCGATATGGTAATGCTGAGCAATGCTGGGCTAGTTCCCCCACATTCAGCTAAATGAGCTACTTGCTGACTTCATCATCTTTAAAGTGATACTGTCCTGAATATAAGAGAAACGGGACACAAAAGGGATGCTAATGCCTCAAGCAGCCTAAAGAAACTGAGCTAGCCTAGGTTGGGAAGCAGCTGGACCTACGTCTGGTGGCCCCCAAAGTCAACAGGCCACACTGTGCCTACGTCTGAGTCTTCTGACCAACAGGGTAAAGGTTCAGACTCAACAATCCAGATGATTAATGACTTTGAACTAATTAGTCCCTACAGAGCTTATACATTAACTTTTGTGTGTGTGTGTGTGTGTGTGTGTTTTAACTTTGAAGTGTAAAAAATTGCTCCGTGGTGATGTCTGTGTGAATCTCACCCTGGGCAGGCGATGCTCACTTTATCTAACCAGTCTGTTTGTCCCTCCACATACTGTCTGGTCTAACTGTGAACACAGTAACTTGATGACAGGGACCATGATCATGCTTTTTCAAAAATCCACGGGCTCTATTTCATGGCACTTGGTATCAAATAATCATCTCTGAACATACAAAGACTAACAATACTGAAGTGATTATAGGGAGAATTAATGCAGTCTTCTTAGAGATCATCTGATAAGTGCCATAAAACATAATGTCTGTTTAGTCTAAATGTGCTTTACAGAAATCAGAGCTGTGGAAACTGTGTATGTAAGAATTTTTTTCTAACTTAGGAGAAATACGAAGGCCCCCAAACAGGAGTATGGTTTTAAAAAAATATGGCACATCCCTAGGATGATACAGTGATACAACCATTTAAAAGCATGCTTTTAGAAAGTATTTAATTACATGGGAAAATAACAACATAATACTAGATGAAAAAAAGTAGGATATAAAACTATGTACACAAAAAGATTAAATAGAGTTACCCTATGATTCAGCAGATTTACCCAAGAGAAATGGAAACATAAGCAAACCCACACAAAAATTTATATATGAATGTTCACAGCATTATTATTCAGAATAGCCAGAATGTGGAAAAACCTTAATGTCCATCAACTTGTAAATGGATAAATAAATTATCTATACCACGGAATGTTATTCAGCCATTAAAAGGAATGATGTTCTGATACACGCTACAACATGAGTGAATCTTAAGGACTCTAAGCCAACGGAAAGAAGCTAGACACAAAAGACTACATATTGTATGATTACATTTATGTGAAATGTCTAGAATAGGCAAATCTGTAGGAGACAGAAAATACACCAGTGGTTACCTAAATAGGGCTAGGGGGAAGGACAAAGGGGAGTGGCACTAATGGGTACTAGATTTTTCTTGGGGAGATGGTGAAAATCTAAGGTTGAGTGTGTTGATGGGTTGCACAACTGGGAATAAACTAAAAACCACTGAATTGCATACTTTAAACAGATGAACTGTATGGTACATGCATTACAGCTGGATAAAGATGTCATTAAAAAACATACAGAGTCTGATCCAAATTTCATTTAAAAATTACATATGAAAAGCTTAAAAAGAGATACAAAATTTTAAAGATTAGCATTTATGAATGGTAACATTGTAGGTAATATTTGTTATTTTACTCTTTTTTTTTTTTGTTTTTGCTATAGGGCGAGTTCGCTTGCCAAACAGACCGAGAGAGACATAGAGACAGAAAGTGAGAAATCGCCCCCCATGGGGGATGGTCACGCCGCAATCCCTTTTCCTCCATTCTCCTCTCGGGATCTTGGGCACGCACGCACACGCGACCAGCGTGAGTTTAAGCCACTGGGTCCGAAACTCGAACCACAGTCAACTATATGGGAGTCCAGCGACATAGCCATTATGCCAACTGCTGGTCCCTTCTTTAACTCTTCTGTATTTTTTATGATAACCATGTAGTTTCTATAATCAGAAGGTCTAATATAATTTTAAGATAAACTATACATATTTAAGACATATGCCTACTGAAAAACAGGATGGGAAGTGAATCAGCCACCTTCTCCCTTCCCTCTGGAATGAGAGTATCAAGTCTTAAAGGGAATCTCATCACCAGTAGCTTGGCACTCACCATTTCCTCAGAAGTCACTGGATCTCAGACCCAGTTACATCTCCTCGAACTCTGTCACAACACATGAAGAGTTAAGTACCGTTGGCCACTGGTGTTTCCCTAGTAAGACAGCTTAGATATGACCATTTTCAACACCACAGGGATGGGATGTATAAAATCTGGACAATTATTTCTAGTTTGTTTTAAATCAGATTAACAGTGACTGAATGAGCCATCAGATAAGAATCTTAAATAACTCAGGATCTTAAGATAATTTTCCTAATTATTATTTTAAAGAATTATTTTATTTAACTTTATTTTTTTATTTTAATTTGACCAGAGAGGGGTGAGAGAAAGAGAAAGCCACCAAGTCTGGGACTCAAACTGCGGTCGGTCATGTGGGAGTCCAGCACCCTTAACCACTACACCACCTGTTGTCCCCAATTTTCCTAATTATTGAGAATCAATATTTAAAGGTCATTTTTTTTTCTTTCTGGAATCTCATTTTTAGACCAAATATAGAAGAGACTTTCTTAAGAATTAAAGGCTCAATAAACAAAGAAAAGAGAAGATCCACGTCTTCACCGGCTCAACACTTTTCTCAGAACCACCTGCTTCAGAGCTTGAGGGAGCCCAGCAGTCATGACATGATGATGAGATTCCATGCTACTCAGCAGGCTGGCACCCGACTTGGCTCATTCCCTAATGCAGAAGAAACACTTGTGCAGCCTGATTCTAAGGGCATGACTACTGCAGAAGTCAATGTCCAGACAGGTGGCACATAAGACAGGCCTGGAGTGCCCCATGACTTTCAGCAGTATTTGACTCAGATCTAGCCCCTCTGTGAAACAATCACATGGATATGAAGCCTTTATTGCTCTAGGAAGGTAAAATGTGGAAGTCACTGGGGGGCTGGCAGGTGGTGTGGTGGTTAGGGGCAATGGATTCCCACATGGCCAACCATGGTTTGAGTCCTGGACCTGGTGGCTTGCTTTCTCGTTTTCCCTTTCTCTCTCTCTCTGTCTCTCTCTGATCAAATTAAAGAAATGATAATAACAAATGGAATTAAATAACTAAATAATTCTTAAAAAAAAAAAAAGAAACAAACTTCTGTGTAGTGGAAAAAAAAAAATCACTGGGATACAAAATTTTGAGAAATACCAGAGAAAGACAAAGTAAGCTATGTGTCAGGTTTAGAGTTCCACATAGTTCACTCAACAAATATTTATTATGTATCTAAGTGTGTGCTAGATGCTGAGCCTAAAGAGAGAGTCCTTGCTCATGACAGGAGCAGACGGCCCACTGAAAGGCATCCTAACAAAAAACTGGCCAGTGAGAACACACATGGTGTCGCCAGATGGATAGCCACTGGCTGCTGGGGGAAAACACACAGGACGGTACCAAACCCCATCTGGGCTATCTGTCATCTGGCCAGCTGCAATTGCTTTGTCCCTGCCTTCATGACACTTTGTTAAAGGCCTAAGGAAGATAGCCACTCATTTTTCTGCTTAAAGCCCTTCAGAGATTCCCTTTATCCCCAGGATGGTGTTCAAGCTCCTTACCAAGAGATGAATAGTGCATGGGGCCAGCAGGTGGTGTGGTGGGTTGAGGGCACTGGACTCCCACATGACCAACTACGGTTCAAGTCCTGGACCTGGCAGCTTGCTTTCTCTCTTCCCTCCCCGCCGCCTCATCAAATTAAAATAAATAAATAAACCTAAATAATTCTTAAAAACACACACACACACAAAACGAAAAGCGCTCCTCCAAGCCTTCCCCTTGACTACTTTCAACCACCCATTTCACAGCTCTGTGCTTGTGCCGCAGCAGCTCCCTGAGCCTGGCCTGTCTCTCAGCATCAGCGGTTCTCAACCCTGGCTCTACTTTAGAATCATCTGGGGAAATGAAACAATAAACAACAAAAACAAACAATGCCAGGGCCTAGATGAACTGAATTAGACTCTCTAGGGGTAGGGCCTACACATCTGTTCACCTCTCTAGGCAATTTTGATTTAAATCACACACAGGCACACACGCCCTGCCCCACTCAGGCAGGCCCTTCCAGTTAGATTGCCATGAACCCCCGAGACAGCTCTGGTCCTGCTCCTGGACTGAACGCTCAGAATGTCTCTGGCTTTGGATTTTTGGAGTCCCATTCAATCAGAAAATATTAAAAACACCCACTGTGTACAACTTGCCTGAGAATCTTCTCTACCCATTACAACTGGTGACGGTAATGTCTTAAATGTCACGGCGCACATGATTGTCAATATTCGTCACTTACCACTTAATGTGGAAGGCAACGTACACTGGCCGAGCAACTCCACGTGCCGTCACTCTCACGTCATCTCAAGCTTCAGAACAACCCTGACAAACAAATACAGCTTGTCTCCATTTTGCAGATGAGGAAATATGTTAAAAACATCAAATAATTTGCACAACTTTTTTGTGATGTTTATCACATTTAAAAGATGTTTTAATTGTCTGCCTTCCTTACAAAACCCTAGGAGAAGATCCACATCTGTTTTACTCACCTAGACACACCTAGCAAACACCTGGCCAGTGCTCAGTATTATGCAACGAAACATTTTTGTTAAATAGTGAAAAGCATCCAGAATGCTCTCTTTACTCTGTCCTTGTGAGCATCACTTTTTTTTTCACTACAGACCAGCCTGCTTGTCTTCATCACACCTAAGTCCAGTGTCTCTCCGCTTCTCCCCATGGGAGATCAAGCCCATCTCTATTCTAGCCCAAAAATCATTCAAAAAGTTCTAGCTAAAAAAAAAAAGAAGGAGCAGCAAAGAAGGGATTGTAGCATGGCCATCCCTCTAGGGAGTGATTTCTTGCTTTCTAGCTGTCTGTTTCTCTAGCAAGCACGCTCACCCTATAGCAAAAATCTCTCTATCTCAAAAAAAAAAAAAAAAAAAAAAGTACCTCTGTGGGCTAAACGAGTATATTTGAAGAGTCAAGTCATTTGGATAAGGAGGATCAAGTAGATACAATGAGGAATCAAACAAGTTGGGTAAGTTTCTTGATCATCCTGTGTCTCAGTTTCCTCATCGACAAAATGGGGGAATCCAACATCCTAGGATTACAATGAGAATGAAATGACACAGTTTTTATAAAGTGCTTAGAACTATGACTGTCACGCATAAGCTTAACTGACAAATACATGGGTCTACAATTAAGAGATTTAATAATATTTATCATACATACCAAGCATTATTCTAGAGCAGGGTGTGAGTAAATCCTTTTTGTAAAAGGCCAGACGGTAAATATTTCAGACCTTGCAGGCCATACAATCTTTGTATAGGCTATCAATTCTGATGCTCCTGTAGCAGGCACAGTAAACAGAAAATACCCAAGTGGGGGGCTAGGTGATAATGCAGTGGTAATGCAACTGTGCCCACATGGGAAAGGATCTGGGTTCGAATCCCAGGACCTCCCTAAGCATACTGGGGGCACACACATGTGCCCATGATTTGGGCTAACTGAGATGGATCACAGCATGGGGACCTAGTTGGGGGTGCCTGGCTCTCATGGAAGAAATAAACTTTTTTTTTGAAAGAAAATAAATAAATTAATGGACATGATTGTCCCAATAATACAAACAAAAACAAGCAATCAGATTCGGCCACAGGCCATAGTTTGTTAACTATTTTCTACAGCAGTGCTGTCCAATATAAACGTAATGTAAGCCACGGAAAGCATTTACATTCTCCTAGTAGCCACTATAATTTTTTAAAAGGTGAAATTAATACATTTTATTTAATTCAGTATATCCAAAATACTGTCATTTCAACACGTATTTGATATAAATAAATTGAGATATTTAACATTTCCTTTTGCATGTGAATTCTCCAAAATTCACTGTTTTACAGTTACAGCATATGTGATTAGACAAATGTTTATTTACTCATTTATTCCAAGAGCAAGAGAGACAGAACCCCCAACAGGGTCCTGATGCTGCAATCCGCTCACGCAAGCCCCAGATCAGGGTCACACGTGTGCCCAGCCTGCCCAGGAAGGTTTCTAAACAGAATGGGGAATCTCCCCGTGTGGAATTGCCTTGCATTGCGCTCTACTGCTGGGCCACCTTCTGGCCCCCAGCACATCTCGATTCTTTTTTTTTTAAATTATGTTTATTTTCAGTTAATTAATCAATTAACATTCATTCCCTGAGCATTGTCGCAGCATACAAAACGTGATTTCTCATCCAGAATATACTACATAGTGGCTTAATCATACGTGTTATCGTCAATAATTTTCCATTTCTAGTTTCACATATATAAATACACACACACATATATGTATGTATATATATTTTCCCCCTCTTTCTTACCCTCTGCCATTTCCCAACCTCCTCCCGCACTATCTCAGGTGTCTACAGTTGTTTTCCATTCCTTTCCCACACACACATTTCATTGATTCACAAAATTTCTGAAATAATCTAACTACTTTCAATACCAAGTTCAGCTGGTATATACATATCTGTGAGTACATGTCTGACTTTAGGTGTGAAACTGAGTAGAATGAATATACTATAAGGTAGCACCTAGCTGATGCTACAATATAACTTACTACAATCATTAAATAGGTATTTTTAACATGTTTTTTAATTTCAAGAAAAGCAGTTTTAGCTTTAATAAATCAAAGAAATGCTAAGGAACTTTGCTCATCTCAATTCTGACTTGCCACATTTCAGGTGCTCCAGCCTTCTGTAACTAGGGACTGCCATACTGCTCAGCATAGTTGCACAGCAAATGCTGAGTATGGATAACGCTGAGATACACACCTATACCTCTGGCTTCTGAATACATATCAAAAACGGAGTTTATACAGTGCCAGCACGAGTAGGCCGTAAATATTTGTTGACTGGATGCATATAAAAGCTTGTTAAATATTAATACTACGGTGCGCTGCACGCCAACTTGCAGTAAACTGCCTAAACTCTGCGAAATACATAGTGAAAAGTTCCAGAAGCTGGTAACAAATGTGTAGTAACCTAGATCCATTTAATTCTTTAGATCTCTTTAAGACCTAAAGAGAAACTCAAACTTTCAAGCCCTAACCCACACATAACTGCAGCTTCACAGTGGGGCCCGGTTTCTATGGGGGGAAATGATGCCAAACGTTGGCAGGGGCGTCGCAGTTTCTGAACTGCCACTCAGCACTGGGGGGCCCTTTCCCGCACTGAAGGTCCCAGGATAGGGACAGCGAGGGGAGGAGACCAGCCCAAGCGCCCCGTCTGGCCTGGGTCTGGTGTCGATAGGGGAGGGGGAGGAGTCATGCAACAGGCAAAGCCTGCTGCCCACAGTTCCAGAGAGCCGGTCCTGCACCCACCACACCCCACACGTACAGCTGCGACCCTGAACGTTCTGTCCACCCCGGCGACCTCGGCTGGGGCAAGGGCACCTCAGGGCCTACTCGGCCTAGCGCGCACCAGTCTGCGAGCGGGGAAGGGCTTCCGCCGAAAACAAGAACTAGTCTTTGTGCCGGCGGGGCAAAGGCCGTGGCGATCGCAGAGCATGACTCACTGAGAAGCGCAGGCGCAGACGCGGAGCCATCGGAAGCTCCCACGACCGGGGAAGACTTCCGGTCTCAGAGGCGGGACGAAGGAGGCTCGACCAATCCAAACCCGCAGACCAGTTAACTGCGCGCCTGGGACCCGGCGCAGGCTTGCTAGGAAACTGGCGCCTGCGCAGAACAATTGGTGACGTGAAGCCGCCTCTCCGCAGTTCCCTGGAGGAGGAGCTACCCCACGCTCCGGGCTTAAAGTGAAAGAAACAAATCTCGCTCTTGTTTTTTTAGCACAGCAGCGAAGTTTGTTCAACTACTCTACAGCTTAGTGTTTTTGCTTCCAATCAAGACAGTGCTCACCTGCATGTTGACATAGTGTGATGAAAATATTAATTACTTATTTAACCTAGTAATTAATTCAGCAGGTTTTTTTTGTTTGTTTTTTTTTTCCTAGCATGCCCCAGTTGACACGAAATACTATTTATGACACGGTCCCGTGTCTCCTAGACTTCTCACCTGTGTGCCTTCTTTGATCCTTTTTATTCAAATGGCTTCTTCAAATCCACTTGAGTAGCCCACAGAGGACACCATATAAGCTTTCTGCTTATTTAATTTAACATGACTTAGTGTTTTTTCTCTTCTTTTTTCTTTGTTATGTTTTGGAGGGTCATTTTCCTGATCACTATATCTTCTCTATTCCCCCCCCTTTAGAAATATCTCTTAAAAATATGGAGTACTATAGATATCCAGAACAACAATAGTTAGTTTTAAATAGCGACCTAGAAGGAATATTTCCTTCGTGATCAGATTTGTAACATTCACTTAAACTAGAGAATGTGTCAGCCTCCAGTTGCGGATTCCCTATTCTAAGGTCACTAGGGAAAAGATTTAGGAAAGCAGTATTCACTCTGGATTGGATGCTGACAGGAAGCAGGATGAGTCTATGATTGAGTAACGTAATAAATCTTGCCTAGGAGGGGAGACAAGACCAGCAATTCATACTGGCTGGGAGAAGGGGTGTTGGATCACTTGTGGTTTGGCTAATTCAGAAAGTCAGTATTCTACCATGGTTATAAAGGAATCTTGCCTTCCTTTTTATCCCTCAGTCAGAGCACAGCCTTATCTGATGTTGGTGTTCTGAGAAATTATTTGTGTTCCACAGGATACCACCAAGAACCCAGCTGTGACCATGGGAAAGCTTGGAGCTGTCAGTAGTTGCTTTTCTGTTTCTCTCTAACCTTTAAATCATTATGGGGCTAAAGTGTTTGCTTTTGTAAATTTTACTACAATATTCACTTAAGGATTATATCTTATTAAAGAAAAAATATTCAGTGCCCTGTTTAAAACAGAGCAAAGAAGACTTTTTAGGAACATTGTAATAGGTATGGGGACCATTGCACCAACGTCTTACACTGGAGGAGAGAGATTGGGCTCAACTCCAAAAACAGCATGATCAAGTAGGAATTTATAGCCAAAGAGCAAAGTGGTGGTGGTGACAGGGAGGGGGCATCAGTGGATAAACAATTTTTCAAAGGAAACATCAGGAGTAAGGGTGATTCTGGCTAAACCAACCTGACAGAATTTTTGCTAAAGACAGAAAAGGGTAAAAAAGATATCACCTGGGGGGGGGGGGTAAGGATGAGGCACCTGATCAGAAATAGGGTTATATTACAGGTGGGCCAATAAGAAGCTTCAGGAACCTGACTAAAGTGTGGCCAAGGCTCTCTGACAATCTTTAGTTTTGCCCATTAAAAGGAAAATCTTGGACAATTTAAATCTAGCAGAGTTTATTTAAGCAAATAGTGATTTATGAGTCAGGCAGCACTGAGAACTAGAAGAGGTTTAGAGAGCTCAGTGAGCAGTATTTATAGACAGAGAAGGGAAGCAAAGAATAGTAACGTGTTGATTGGTTGCAGTTCGTGTTATTTGGATGTGGTCTGATCAGATGGCAGCCTGTGATTGGCTAAAGCTTGGCTGCTTGTGATTGGCTGACACTCACCTGACTATTACAGTCCTAAATTAGGTTTTCGATTTGTTTACACACCAAATTAGGTTGCAGTTCATTGCATAGGAACTAATAGCACTGAGACAGCCTCAGATCAATGGCTTTCTTATTTAATTTAACATGACTTAGTAGTATTTCTCTTCTTTTTCCTTTGTTATTTTTTGGGGTTCATTTATCTGGCCACTCTTCTCTATTCCCCCCTTTAGAAGTACCCCTTAAAATATGGAGTACTAAAGGCAGCTAGAATAACAATATCTAGTTTTAAAACATGACCTAGAAGGAATACTTCCTTGTGATCAGATTTGTAGCATTCAGTTCTTAAAATATATATTGTGTGTCAAAGCAATCATACTTAAGCTATGAAAGACTCAACCTATAGGAATTAGTTTAAAAAGTAGAAGTTACTTTAGAAACTTGTGACAGTAGAGACTTGAGGGATATTCTAACCAATGAACTCTGTACTGACGAAAAAAATCAAAATTAGTAAAAACTCTAAAGAAAGATAAAGCGACCCAAGCTTCCCTCTGGTGTAAATGAAACACTGACACACATGATTATCTAAGAGGCAAGCTATAATTACTGTGTAGTCCTGCTTTGTCTGCTACGGTAACCACACGTGAATAGTTAGATTTAAATTAAGTGTTAAATTCTATCCCTGGGCCCTGTAGCCCAGTGATTAAGGGAGCAGAATTCTTCATGGCTAACTGGGTTCAAATCCTGACCCTAGTGGCTTGAAAAAAAAAATGTCAGATACATGTGCAAGTATTCCCCAAATGTCAACAGGATGGAGAAATGCAGAAAAAGGGATTGCAGTGTAACCATACGCCATTAGAGGGTGATTTTTTTTCTCTCTCTCCCCCCTTCTCTCTCTCTGGCAAGCACACATGCCCTCCAGCCATTAAAAACAATGATGTTCCGGGAACCAGCAGTTAGCATAATGGCTATGGCGCTGGACTCCCACGTAGTCGACCACGGTTCGCGTCCCGGACCTGGTGACTTAAAACTTACGCTCGGCGCGTGTGCGTGCGTGCCCAAGATCCCGAGAGGAGAATGGAGGAGAAGGGATTGCGGCATGACCATCCCCCCTGGGGGTGATTTCTCGCTTTCTGTCTCTATGTCTCTCTCTGTCTGTCTGACAAGCGTACGCGCCCTATAGTGAAAACCTCTCAAAAAACAAACAAACACAAAATGATGTTCCTCCATTGCACTAGCCAAATGTAAAGTTCTCAGTAGCCACTTGAGGCTACTGGGTACCATATTAGATAGCACAGCTATAGAATGTGTCCATCGCAGCAGGTAATTCTGTTAAACAGAATAGGCTGAATTAATATGATATAAATCTACAACAGGACACAGTAAAGGTTGCTGAGTTCATTCTTTGGGGCAATTTTAAAGTAGAATATTTATTAAAGTACTTACATCTATAACAATTTATCATACATCGTTTTGGGCCCTTTCTTTTAAAACTATCTTTCAGCTGCTTCAGTACTCTGGAATTCTCTTTGATGAATTTCCTTTAGTGCAATGGAAACCCCTCTTCAAGCCCCCTTAAGTCTCTGAATGGCAGTATAGATGTTCTGAGCGCACACAGACAACCGTTTCCTGCAAATTCCCAAGGAACAGAGGCAAAGGCCTTTATGAATCCTCTGCAGAGGCTAAGGTTACATATCACTTAAGGAACAGTTGCAGATGTTTCCTTTGGAATGAGGTCAGAGAAAGTGTGTCTTGCTGGGTTCTAAGGTGCTGACTGATGTCTTTTTCCTGGCAAAACACCAGGAGCAGGCACACGGTTTAACTGGGGATGTTCTTATAAATCACAAAATTACAGAGAAGCAAGGAGCATATTTTGGCTGGAAATCCCCAGAGACTTAGAGAAGCGGTAGTTCTTACACAGGGCAGGCGCCTTTTGGCTGGTGAGCCATGGATTAAATCAATGATTCTCAACCAGGAGTGGGGAAAGTATACCAGATATGCCTTCGGAAGCTTCTGTCAGACACATTAGCCAGGCTTTCTACATGCAGGGCAGCATGGGGAGTGAGGGAGGAAACATCGCCCCCGCCCCCAGGTTAAAGATTCTTCACTTTTTAAAGTTTCACAACCACTTCCTTTATTGGTATAGCCTTTTAAATTCCATTGCTGCTGGGCCAGCCCATGGTGTGGTGGTTAAGGTAGCTGAGGTGGATCCCACATAGCTGACTGCACTGTTTGAGTCCTAGATCCGGCAGCTTGAAAAATATACCAGGCATATGTGCGTGCATGCACAAAAAGAAGGGAGAGATGGAGGAGAAAGAAGTGCAGCGTGGCCATCCCCCATGGGGTGAATGCTTTCTTACTTACTCTCTGTCTCTGTCTCTTTCTCTCTCTCTCTCTCCAGCACACACACCCCTAGCAAACTTAAAATAATAATAATAAATTCAATTGCTGGTGTCAGAAGGTGGCACAGAATAGTGCAACTGATCATACATGAGAAGGTCCTTGGTTCAACCCCTGAGACCTTCTTGAGTACACTGGGCACATGCATGTCTAGAATCCGAGGTGGCTGAGACTGGAGGTGGATCATGGCATGGAGACACTCTTGGGAGTGCTCCTCTCTCTCTGGCCCTGTTTACCACCATTAATGCTTGGAACTATCAGTCCCTTTCATTTTAACCAGTCTAGGGGGACCTATCTTGGTCAGCGATTCTCAACCTGCTGTATATTAGAATCATCTGGAGAATTTTTTAAACTCCCAGTGGCTAGGCTGTACCTTGAGCCAATTATTGGACCTAATAAATCAGACTCTCTATCTTCTAAAATTCCTCAGATGTTCCTGGTGGGCATTTAATACTGAAACCATTGCTTTAACTTATTCCAATTCTGCCCTTAATTTCACCTGCAAGATTTTCCCCAAGAACCACTGATCGAACATAATCTTTGTTTTAGTTGCATGTGTATTTGGCAGAGAGACAGAGAGAGAGGGAGGGATAAAGCATCCTCTAGTGGGGTGAGGTCATGGACAATTTCTTCTCCTCCATTTCTCCATCTTGTTGGAATTTGGGGTACGTGCACACATGTACCTGGAGTGATTTTCAAGCCATCAGGGCCAGGAGTCAAACCATCG